TTTGCATTGCACTTTGATCCGTAATTTAGTGAAATTTTGAAATTATTTTTGCATTAATATCTTAGAGATTGATTTTGTAATTGTACATGTTTGCTTCAAGTTGAATATCGATTGTGGTTATAGTATTGATGTCCTTAATTTAAATGTTTTTATGCATTTCTATTACAATGGTATAATTGTCGTTATTTTGGTAAAGTTTTGACCATGAGAACGTCATTTGTGCCATTAACAATATAAGAACGTCTATTAGAACAAAGTCATTATGTTAGTAAGTATAAGTCCATGAGAACAACACTTGTGTCATTACTGATATTGAAAAGATTTAGAGAACGGCACAAGTGATGTTATAATGACACACAAACTTGTTCATGAAAACGGTACAATTGCTGTTACTGTGTATAGAACGACGCTTATGCCTTTACTGACATGGGAATAACCATTAGAATAGTATAACTGTCGTTATGTTTGTATTTATAAGTCTACAAAAATGACACTTGTGTCGTTACTAATATTAAAAAGATGTAGAGAACAACACAAGTTATAATGACACACAAGCTTGTTAATCAGAATGGCAAAAGTGCCATTACTGTGTACAGAACGGCGTTTCTGCCGTTACTAAGATGAGATCGAGTATGAGCAGTCACAAACCATCCAAGACCCGATATTTGATAAGTTGAACTCATTTAAGTCACAAGATAGACATGCCGCTAAAAAAATTTAAGAGACACGCTAATTAATTGTATTTCTTAACGAATGTGGATAATGACTTGTGATTTCACCAACTCAATATCAATAATCTATGTCAATTCTACTATTATTTGTCACGTAATCAACATTTCTGACTGTCTTAAGTTAGACGATTCAACACTTGAGGTTGATGCGATGGAAAAAAAAAAGGCAAAATGTTGGTGGAACAAATAGAACGGCATAAGTGTCTTTAAATGTCATTTGTGTTGTTCTATCCAAAAACACGAATATGAGTAGCCACGAACCATTTGAGCCTCGATATTCGATAAATTGAACTCATTTAAATCCCAAAATGAACATGCCGCTTAAAAAATTTGAGAGATACGCTCATAATTGTATTTTCAAACAAATCTGGATAGTTACTTGCGATTTTACCAACTCGATATTTATAATCTATGTCAATTCCACCGTTATTTGTCACATAATCAACATTTCTAACTTTCTTAAGTTAGGAGGTTCGATACTTGAGGTCGATACGACGAAAAACAATCAAAATATTGGCGAAACCAATAGAATGGCACAAGTGCCCTTTTTCGCCATAATGGCACAAGTGTCATTAAACGTCACTTGTGCCATTCTGTCCAGAAACATGAGTATGAGCAGCCAAGAATCGTCTGAGCCCAAATATTCGATAGGTTGAACTCATTTAAATCACAAGATGGACATGCCGCTTACAAAATTTGAGAGATACTTTCATTAATTGCATTTTCTAAAAAATGTAGATAGTGACTTGTGATTTCACCAATTCGATATCTATAATCTATGTCTATTCTATCGTTATTTGTCACGTAATCAACATTTCTGACTTTCTTAAATTAGGGGGTCCCATGCTTGAGGTCGATGCGGTGGAAAAGAAACAAAACATTAACGAAACCAGCAGAACGACACAAGAGCCGTTAAACATCACTTGTGTCGTTCTGTCCATAAACATGATTATGAGCAGTCATGAACTGTCTGGGCCCTAGTATTCGATAAGTTGAACTCATTTAAGTCGTATAATTGACATGCTACCCACAAAATTTGATAGATATGATAAGTGTGTTTTTGCACACTTATTTAGATCACAAATATGACTTAATTACGAGTAAAATGGTTTAATTGTGGCTTAATTTCATTTCATTTGTGATTTGCAGGGAATATTGATGGACATGGTGAAATTTAGGAGAAAAGACCCGAAAAATGACCAAAATGAAGGAAAACAAAGCTCCACCACCAAGTTGTAAATAATCCATAGATGAGATGGCGATGAAATGAAGATTCAAGAGTGTTAGAGGTCAATCGGATGAGGAAAGGATTCAAAGAGGTGAAGTATAGTTGAAGTATTATCAAGTATCAACTTTCAGGCAAAAAGGATATGCTTGGGATTTTTAGTCTCCATTTGAGACCCAATTTTCGTATAATAAACATCCGAATTTGGGAATTCCTATTTCTATGAAAATTGTTGATCTTTGAGTTCTCTTTCCAATGCACTTTGAATAATCTCAATCGGATATCAGGAGAGGAAGATATGATCAAATTACTGAAAGCAGTACGATGGAAAAATTTCTATAATCATATGACCTTCCTTGCGGTCGCACAAGGCAATACAAGGAAAAATCTAGGCTGAAACTTCTGAACCATGCGGTAGCATGGCTTTATACCATGCAGTCGCATGGTATAAAAATGTGACCAAATCTCAAGTTTCCTTATTCGACTCAAACACGATTTAGTAAGGTTTTAGGCGACTTCCTTGACCTAATTTCGTCCCCAATAAATACCAGAAGACCCTGAAACATAAAAAAGGGGGATTATACACAATTTTTGAGGATTCGGAGAGGAAGAACAAGGCAAAAACAAGGCAATCCACTTCAAGATTTAAGATTTCACTTCAAGAATCAATTGGGTGATGTTCTTCCTTGGTTTTAATTATTGTTTTTCTTTATTTTCCATTATGTTAGGCTAGATTTTCATATGCTACAATTTGCGATGAACCCTTAATCTTGAATTTTATTAATTTGACGTTAAAACATGTTTTTAATTATTGAATAATTGGCATGGATTTTATTTTATCTACAATTATGTGCGCAATAGTTGTATGAGCTTTGTGGTTTGTTTTACCCTCGAGAGATGGAAAATAAGTTAGACATTATGTTAATTGTCGTAAAGTTCGATAAGGGATAAAAATATACCTCTATACTTTACGTGATTTTTAAATATTCATAAATCTTTAATGCATTTTTATATGTTAGCATCCGTCATAGAAATATAGTCGGATCGCATGTGAAAATAGGTTTAATTCTACTCGAGAGAGATTGTTAAACAAATTAGGAATATTGATCTTCACAATTGAATCATATTCTCAATTTTATAAAATTCGGATTAAAGGGGATTGATATAAGAGGATTCGGGATCCTAGTATGCATTTCGTTATCATATTTTTATAAAACTTGCATTTAGTTATAATCACGCATTTAATCTAGTTAATTTAGACGTTATATTTATAAGTAGGTTATTAAATCATAATTTAGTTAGTGAAAATATCAAGAATTTCTATTGTTTAGGTTAAGGCGACGCTAGGTAAAATTGAATTAATCAATCTCTGTGGAACAATATTCGGACTCATTTAATCCACTTTATTACTTGTTAACGAATCGTACACTTACGGTAGTTTTAAATCGAAAGAAATAATTTTCTGAATAAGTTTTTAGCACCATTGCCGGAGATTGAGTTTAATTTAATTTTATTTCTCGATGCACTAATTCGATCTTCAATTTTTATTTTGCTAGTATAATTTTATTTTTATTTTTATTTTAGGTTATTATCCTTTATTTGTATTTAGTTATTTAAATTGTTTGAATCTCAGTGCTCGTACTGGTTTTGTTACTCAGATTTGCATACCACGATCAACTGGAGGAGAATTGATTCCATCCGATCCTGAAATCAAGCGCACCTTTCATCGACTACAAAGAGATAACTGAGAAGCACAAGTACAAATGGCTAATGAACTAAACAATCCCATTATTCAAGCTAATGAAGGAGAGGCAATGGACAGAGGAAATGAGATTTTGGGAGATTTCTTGAGTCCTCAAGTAATTCAAAGTCAATCCAGCATAGTGTATCCATCGTTTGGGCAGCCAAATTTCCAGTTGAAGACCAATGTGATATGGCTATGTCAAAATGGACACCAGTTTGATGGCAATGCCGAGGAGAATCCACATACACATATATCTCGATTTTTTGATATGTGTCAACATTTCAGATACCAAGGGATTTCGAACGACGCTATTAGGCTAAGATTGTTTCCACATACGCTACGAGACAGAGCACTTGAATGGTTGGATTCACTTCTAGTTGCAAGTATCACTACATGGAACGAGTTGGCACACAAATTCTGCACAAAGTTTTTCTCCTCAACCAAGATAGCGAAGCTGAGACATGATATATCAGTATTTAGTCAAGGAGAAACCGAATCATTTGACGAAGCTTGGAGCAGATTTAAAAACATGCTCCGGAAGTACCTTCAACATGGGTTTGATAAAAAGACCCAAATTCGATTCTTCTACACAGGGTTACTTCCATACCACAAGAGCATGGTGGATTCAGCGTCAAATGGCTCAATATCCACACGAACAGTTAATGGGGCATTGGAATTATTTGAGAGAATGGCTACCACATCAGCCATGTGGTCTTCTGAGAGGGCGATTCCAAGTAAAACTTTGGGTGTCTACGAGGTGGATACTTATTCAGCAATATCTGCAAAAATCGACTCTTTGTATCACAAGGTGGAAAGCATATCACAGGCAGCACAAGCTAAGAAGAGCAACTGTGATGAATGAAGAGCTGAGCATAAAACATCGGAGTGCCCGATACTCATGCAAGGAATTGAGCAAGCAGACTATGCACAGTGAGGACAACGCCAACAATACAATCAATATGGAGAAACTTTCAATTCCAGTTGGATGAAGCATCCCAACTTCTCTTGGAGCAACCAAAATCAAAATAGGCCACATGGACAATTTTAACAACAAGAGAATAGGCCTCAATTGGAAGATATGATAGGAAAATTCATGGAGAAAGCTGAAGCTGCACTTCAAAATCAAAATGCAGCGATCAAAAATTTGGAAACTCAGATGGGGCAATTGGCCATAGCATTGACTGGCAGAATGCCAGGTAACTTGCCGAGTAATACAGAAATCAATCCCAAAGAGCAAGCCAAGGCCATTACAACTCGAAGTGGAGTACAATTGCCTGAAATCCATGTCAAGAGATCGGGTATGACTGGAGAGACATTTTCCCCTGCTGAAGAAGAGACTGTTGTAAAGGAATCAACTCCAAAGGAAAATTCAGAAAAGTCACAGGATAAGGCCAAAGTCACAGTCAACCCATACGAGCCTCCAATTTCCTTTCCACGGCGGTTGAAGAAGCAAAAATTAAAGTAACAGTACAAAAAATTTCTAGAAGTCTTCAAAAAGCTACATATCAACATCCCACTAGCCGATGCACTATTTCAGATGCCTAGCTATGCGAAGTTTTTCAAAGATATTATATCAAACAAACGCAAGCTGGAGGACCATGAGACAGTAATGCTTACGGAGGAATGCACTGCCAGAATCCAGAAAAAGCTCTCACCAAAACTGAAAGATCCAAGGAGTTTCACTGTCCCTTGCACAATTGGTGATCTTTATTTTGATAAAGCATTGTATGATCTCAATGCGAGTATTAACTTGATGCCACTCTCTATTTTCAGGAAACTAAGATTGGGAGAGCCTAAGGCAACCACATTAACTCTACAACTAGCTAATCGATCACTTACACATCCACGAGGGATTATTGAAGATGTATTGGTCAAAGTGGATAAACTCATATTCCCAACAGACTTCTTGATTTTGGATATGGAAGAAGACAAGGACGTGCCTATCATATTGGGACGACATCATAGATGTACAGCAAGGACAATTAACTCTGAGGCTGGGGGAGGAACAAGTCTCTTTTAATGTTTTCAAGGCAATGAGATACCCCAACGAGCCTGAAAGCTGTTTCCAGATTGAAGTGCTTAACATAGGAATCCCCTATAATTTTGAGTTGAAGAAACAACCAAACATTCATGAGGCCTGTATAGTACACTCTCCATCCATTCTTATCTATTCAAAGGAGATTAAGGCATTCAATGTGGGATTTCATACGAATGACGAGAGAATGACAAATCTCTTGGAGAAAGACAGGGATGAAATTCGGAGGATAACTACAATGTGGAACAAGACCATATTGAGCAAACTATGCAAGACGTCCCAAGCCATATTTAAAGTGCCATAAAATACCTATGCCAAAAGTCGAGCTATCGATTATAAAATAGCGTTGATTGGGAGGCAACCCAACATCTCTACCCTTTATTTATTTCATTTTGCATTAGTCTAGGAGTTTTTCAATTTTTCAACATTTTTATTAGTTTAGGTCATCGTTCATCCATGCACGTCAATAAATAGCCTAAGCACAATCCACACCAGTCCCAATGCTTTGAGCACAAGTCATAAGGTTGAAGTCTTGTTTTAGTCAGTCATGGGTCAAATTGAACAAAGTGTATGATTAGATCTAAACTTTGTTGGTGATTCATATTTTTGTGATATGAACTTTATATTGAGATATAATTTATGCATCTTACACGTCAACAGTGTACACATGCACCTTGAAATAAGTTTGGGGGAATGGTGCGTCATATGGATTCCTTCATGCACACCCAAGTTTATCAATTATCACCATATGATAATACACAGACTTTGCACTTTTGTAGGATGTCGCCAAAAAGACATCAGCAGGAAAAGAGAAGGTCAACTCCACATATGGCATTGTAGGTCCCGATTTTTTACCACCTCCATACTGATCAGGGGAGTACTAGTTATCCCATTTCTTGTGCTTTCAGTTTATTTTGTCCCTCACTATATGTATTTGAACTTCTACTTTATTTCAACAATGAGGGCAAAATTATGTCTTTAATCTTTCGTTAATCTTACATTGAGGACAATGTATTAACTAAGTTTGGGGGTGACATACTTTTAAATCTTTATCTACGTTCATCAGTATCTGTATTCCATTATTGCATAATGTATGCATGATAAGCGTTAAAAAAAATTCATGCATGCTAGTGTGGGCTTGATAACCTTGCTAGTTATGATGTTATTATTGGACTTGTTTAAACTGCAAAACTTTGGATCTGGTGTTAATTAGACTAACTGATGCTTGTTGATGCAACCCTTGACATTATCTATGCACGCTATTCATGCTTGACATGTTAGATGAATGACTGGATTTTGAGCATAAAGTAGGAAAAGAATGATAACCCTCTATTGAATTAACCCATAAACTACCTTAAGACAGTTTGGTGATGGTTGAGCTATTATAGGGGAGCATTGAGATGAGCAGGGGTTCCGTGCATGAATTTTATTGTGTGGATTGCCTAGACCAGTGAGGTGAAGATTAGGTAAAAATCTTAAATTAGGGGTTGGTTTTGGAAACTAAATGTCTAGAACAATAAGGGCATAAAATAAAATTGTGAGAATAAAACACTTCTTTTCATGCCTTTATGACTCGAGCAAGTAAGTCTGTAAGGATATTTCAAAATCTGGTGCCCTAAGGTCAACTGACTTGGGAGTCACCGGCCTAAAACTCGCTAAAAGGGTCATATAGAAAGCAAGAGGGAAAGAGGTTAATAAAAAGTCATTTGATCGAGCCTTTATAACTTGAGTGAATAAGCCTGCAAGGGTTTAAAATCTGGTGCCCTAAAGCCAGCTAGTTTGGGAGTTATTGACCTAAAGCTCGCTTAAGAGGTTATATAGAAAGCAAATGAGAAGATGATATGTATAATAAAAAAAATGGAAAGTGAGAAAAACAAAAGAGAAACAATAACATGAAAAAAAACCCTTAGACATTTGGTTGAGGAAACTATATCTTTGAGGCGGGCAAGTAACCTATTTTAATCTTGAGTGTCGAAGCAATCAAACTTGGGAGAGCCTTCACTTGTTGAAATGTAAACTTGTGATAGTGAGATTAATCCAAACTACGAGAGGGTAAGGACTACAGCTATGTAAATTTCTAATCTTAAAACACAACCCCGGGATAATTGAGTGAAAAGAATAAATTTGGGGGGGTTGTGTGTCGCTCGAGTGAAGTAAGGACATATATGACCACTTGGGGTCGGGATTACACCAATCATGAGCTTGATATGTTGGCATGAGTTCACACACCCACGTCAAGTGTGCATTTAACTAGTAAATGTTGATTTTATTCATGTACTATTGAAATTTTTTCTAATGTCAATTACTCACTTCCGATCCTGAGACAAGGCAGGCTATTAAGCCATGTTTGTTGAGAGTCAAGTCACTATTTTGTTTGAGGACAAACAAAGTTCAAGTTTGGGGGATTTAATAAATGTGTTTTTGGACACTTATTTAGATCACAAACATGACTTAATTACGAGCAAAATGATTTAATTGTGGCTTAATTTCATTTCATTTGTGATTTGTAGGGAATATTGATGGACATGGTGATTTAGGAGAAAAGACCCGAAAAAGGACCAAAATGAAGGAAAACAAAAGCTCCACCACCAAGTTGTAAATAATCCATAGATGAGACGGCGATGAAATGAAGATTCAAGAGTGTTAGAGGTCAATCGGATGAGGAAAGGATTCAAAGAGGTGAAGTATAGTTGAAGTATTATCAAGTATCAACTTTCAGGCAAAAAGGATATGATTGGGATTTTTAGTCTCCACTTGAGACCCAATTTTCGTATAGTAAACATCCGAATTTGGGAATGCCTATTTCTATGAAAATTGTAGATCTTTGAGTTCTCTTTCCAATTCACTTTTAATAATCTCAATCGGATATCGGGAGAGGAAGATATGATCAAAATACTGAAAGCTGTCTGACGAAAAAATTTCTATAAACATGTGACCTTCCTTGCGGTCGCACAAGGCAATACAAGGAAAAATCTGGGCTGAAACTTCTAAACCATGCGGTAGCATGGCTTTATACCATGCGGTCGCATGGTATAAAAATGTGACGAAATCTCAGGTTTCCTTATTCGGCTCAAACACGATTTAGTAAGGTTGTGGGCGACTTCCTTGACCGAATTCCGTCCCCAATAAATACCCGATGACTCTGAAACATAAAAAAGGGGGATTAAACACAATTTTTGAGGATTGGGAGAGGAAGAACAAGGCAAAAACAAGGCAATCCACTTCAAGATTCAAGATTTCACTTCAAGAATCAATTGGGTGATGTTCTTCCTTGGTTTTAATTATTGTTTTTCTTTATTTTCCATTATGTTAGGCTAGATTTTCATGTGCTAGGATTTACGATGAACCTTATATTATGAACCCTTAATCTTGAATTTTATTAATTTGACGTTAAAACATGTTTTTAATTATTGAATGATTGGCATGGATTTTATTTTCTCTACAATTATGTGCACAATAGTTGTATAAGTTTTGTGGCTTGTTTTACCCTCGAGAGATGGAAAATAAGTTAGACATTATGTTAATTGTCGTAAAGTTCGATAGGGGATAGAAATATACCGCTGTACTTTACGTGATCTTTAAGTATTCATAAATCTTTAATGCATTTTTATATTTTAGCATCCGTCATAGAAATACAGTCAGATCGCATGTGAAAATAGGTTTAATTCTACTCGAGAGAGATTGTTAAACAAATTAGGAATATTGGTCTTCATAATTGAATCGTGTTGTCAATTTTATAAAATTCGGATTAAAAGGGATTGATATAAGGGGATTCGGGATCCTAGTACGCATTTCGTTATCATATTTTTATAAAACTTGCATTTAGTTATAATCACGCATTTAATCTAGTTAATTTAGGCGTTATATTTATAAGTAGGTTATTAAATAATAATTTAGTTAGTGAAAATATCAAGAATTTCTATTGTTTCGGTTAAGGCGACGATAGGTAAAATTGAACTAATCAATCTCTGTGGGACGATATTCGGACTCATTTAATCCACTTTATTACTTGTTAACGAACCGTACACTTGCGGTAATTTTAAATCGTAAGAAATAATTTCGTGAACAAGATACGCTCATTAATTTATTTTCTAACGAATATGCACTACTTGTCATTTCATCAACTGGATATATATAATCTATATAAATTCGAGCGTTGTTTTTCACGCAATCAACATTCTTTACTCTCTTAAGTTAAGGGATCCGGTGCATGATGTCGATATAGTGGAAAAGAAGCAAAATATTGGCGAAACCAATAGAACGTCACAAGTGACGTTTGTGTCATTCTGTCCATAAACACAAATATGAGCAACCACGAACCATTCGGGCCCTAATATTTGATAAGTTAAACTCATTTAAGTTGTTAGATGGATATGTCGTTTACAAAATTTGAGAGATACGATCATTTTTTATTAACATGAAAAAATGAGAACAACACTAGTGCCGTTACGATACCATGTATATTTTGAAATTAATTGCTATTAAATCAATAATATTTAATTTTTGAATATCATTTCTATATTTTCTAGGAAAAATATTCAAACGACACCAGTGATGTTTTATTATGAAAAATATATATATATCTGTCGTTATGGCTTCATCAATGCTGAGATAATGACAAAATCAATCATTCCAAATATTTTAAATAGTTTACATCAATAATTTGCTTCATTTTCAATTAGGCCTTGCCATCTAACCTGTAATCACAACGACCCAATTGCAATTTTCAGTGGACTTCCGAAAATCTGTTTCGTGTTGTCAAGAATAATGAACTACTATTTTCATTAAAGCAACTTGGACAAAAAAAGAAGTGACTTGGATAAAAAGAAACGAAGTGGCTTAGAAATATGACTAAAAAAAGTAGTAGTAATTAAAAAGAAAATAAAGGAGCAACAAAAGCAATGCATCATAACACCACCATCCTTTTCAATATTACAATAACAGCCTATCATAAACCACAAAAACCTGTAGATGTGCCATTTTGTCTTTCTCATTTATGTCTCTCATGAGTGGTACACAATTTGTACAAGTGAAGCAGTTATGTCCAGTTTTCAAACACCTACTACATTTACGAGACTTGCATACCTCTCCGATTGATTGTTTCCTTTTTGGTGGATGTCCATTTCCTCTTTGTGTCAATGGTCGTATCACATTTCTTGATTGAACATTATCAGAAATTTTCCAGTCTGCCTCATTTGGCAATGTGTGTGTGTGTGTGTGTGTATGTGTGTGTGTGTGTGTGTGTGTTCAGAATAACCTTGTTTCCAATAAGAAGTGCTATAAAATGGAGAGTAAAACCTACAATAGTTATTTCCAACATCCGTTACTCTAGCAATTGCATGTGCACATGGAAATTGGGCCATATCAAATTCCTTATATGTGCATGTCCTCCTCTCCAAATCAATTTCCATTTCATCACTCACTTGCATTTCATCTGGGCTAAGAGCTTTCACCTCGAAGCCTTTTGAGTCATTATACTTATCGTACATCTTCTCATCCAAAGGCAGGGTGAGGTAGCTTGTACATTTTTCTACATCAACACATTTATCATGAAATCATCTCTGCATCTTCTCTTTGATATGCTCAATCAAAGTAAGTATAGGAAATTCTCGAGACTTCTCAACAATGTGTTCAATGACTCTGCATTATTTGTGGTCATACTATTGTATCTGATTCCATTGAAATGTGCTCTTGACCAATACTTCACGCCAACATCATCCTTTAAGTATCCTTGGATTTTTTTCGTGTAGACTGCGTAATGTTTGCATACTGATCTCAAATTTTGTTAGACTATATGTCTATGTGGTAGCTCTAAACATCGACACAATATCAATGTGAGGAAATTTATTCTTCAAGTTAGTTTGCAAATGCCATATACAATGTCAATAACTTGGGTTAAGATAGACGTTGCTAAAATGATTTGATATGCTTGTTGTATGGTTAGATATAAAGTCTAGCTCGTCTGTATCACTAGTTATTTGTTGCAACTTTTGAAAGAACCAAGTCCATGAGTTATAATTTTTTGACTTTATATGGGTACTTAGATTTCAAAAATGGTCCATCCACACAAATTACCCGTCGGATTGAAGAGAGGAATCCATGTATGCTTGGTCCTAACGCCATGAAATAATATATGAAAATCCATCATTATCAATTTCAATAAAAGTCAATGTGCCAGGATTATATCTCTCTAAAATGTGACAATACAGTGGTAACTTTGCATAGCTATCATTGTTAACCTAATGATTGACTTCTCATTTTGATTATCGCAAACAAATTGCGTTTTATTCTAACAAATTGAATTTGAGTGTTGATAGTGTTTATCGCGAAATTAAGGAAGAATGAAGACACAAGAATCGAGATCAAAAATCACGCACATGGACAAACGTTGTGGAGCCTAACGATCAACACATAAGCAAGATTGAAAATTGATGAACGTGGAAATGGAAATCAAGCCTTCGCATCAAAAATTGCATTGTAAGGAGAGATTGAAGACTTTTGCTATGGATGCATTTTTGAACTCAAATGTAAATATAAAACACTTTAAGATTTCAAATCGATTATAGCTCAAACAATTTTCATGCACAAGACACTTTCACAACGAACAATACTTACATAAAATTATTTTCAAAAGATAAGTATCTCGATTTTCAAGATAAATATTTACAAAATACCTATCTATACAATATAAATGAGAAAATCCTTCAATAAACTACATGGATAAAATTCATTACGAAGGAAATATGTCCGGAGGGAAAAAGTGCCCATCTTGACGTTTGAAAGGACCTCCAACAGTCACTTTATTAACCGTTTTTCAAATGGCTAGTTACCCATCCAGTCCCAAGCGGATGTCATAATCCCGTGTCTGGATTGACAGATTTTTTACCGTTTGAAAGCGATAAATACTCCTCTTTTTACCTCATTTACAACAACAATTCTCGAGCATTAAAGTGGGACATTTATTGATCTTATCTACCTTAGTTTTCAATCTTTAAAAGATTAAATCAAGTTATTTTGAAGAACTTTTTGAGTGATGAAAACTTGTAAAAATCATTTATCTCAATTAAAGTTTTTCAACCAACATTTGAAATATATTCTTTGTAACTTATTAAAGTGTTGCACCTACTTCTCTCTCGATACTTAATTGAATTCATATCATTTATTAAGACTAAAGCTTTCATTTGTAACTTTTCATATTCTTGTTTTTTATTGTGGGTCGTGTTGAAGTCTCGGAAAACTCAACGTTGTAAAAGGATTGGTGCTCATTGATTGTAAGTCACCGGAAGCGTTGTAAAGATTGGATTGCACCATAAGTCAATCAAAAATAGTGGAAAAGGCCTTGCTCGTGATGGAGGGTTTGGTAACGAGGGACATAGATCGTTGATTGGATCGAACCTCCATAACTTATCAATTGCTCATTCTTTTCCCTTTCTCTTGTTATTTTCTGTTATCTTACTTGCTTATTATCTTATTAGTAAATTGGTTAAATTTGCATTTTATTTTCGAAAATGTTTTAGATAACAAATTCACCCCCTCTTGGTTAGTCGTTATTCAGCTTTCAATCATCAGTGTTATCTCAAACCTCATTGTAAGCAATTTCTTTGGCCATATACGCCTTCTGATATTATATAGTTATGCCAAACTCTCGACGAACGTCATTGATGATGTTTCTTGGTTTATACACTATGTTAGCATTTTGATACTTGGGAGCTATATGTTTTCCAATTGCCAAATAGGTAGCATGTCTATTATCTCTACGGCGAACACTCATTGAGCAAGTTTAATGGCTAGAATATTTTTGTATTTGACAAATCTCATATTCAGCGATGCTCATTGTCTGTAAACGCCAATTGAAAATTTTCTCAATACAAACGACTGTATACACACTCTTATTTGATTTCTTTACTTTAAATTCAAATTAGTACATCACGATAAGTAGCCGGAGTTTTGATCTCAAAGCACTTTTAGTTGGAAATAGTTCATTGTCGCGTACATCCTTATTTTCTGGAATCCTAACTGATGATCTATAAAGAATTGAACACATGACTTGTGTTGAAGTACTAATAATATCCTCTTGAATGGAAAAATCAACATTGTTTTCATCTCTCGAAGGAGATTTATCTTCGAAATCTTATTTTTCGGACCTAACTTAAATTATATGCAAGTTATCCTTATCCACAGAGTTTCCATCTATGTTATCATTCCCATAATCGCCATTATATTGCTCAACTTCATTTCGATTGCTCACATCTCCCTTTTTTTTACTTCACCATTAGTTTCCACTCCACAATCTTAAACTATTACACTCATCTGCAACATTGGTCGAAAATAGTCAGGCAAAGAGGATTTTTTTACAAATAGAAAGAAAGCACTTCATTTTCATGTCACTGTTAATCCTTTGTGGTGGAGCTGAAAACTTAGACCTTCCAGAAGTAAAAGACATCATTTCAATTTCATATAACTTTAAATTCACATTAACAAGTTCTTGCACTTTATTATACAACTCTATATACGAAATGCAAGTTGGAACATATAGAACATCCACATTTTCTTCAACATTTCCTACACAATTCCATATCCATATGCCTTTTTCAATCTTTTTAAACTCAACAAAATAGCATATCTGTACAAATATCATTTCTACAAAATACATAGTTGTAAATAAAATAAAAAGTTAAATAATTTACTCAGTATATATTAAAGTAATATGAAAATAGTTATCAAATTTAAATTATCAAAGTAACCACATTATATTATCAATAACAGACAGACTATAACAAATAACAGTGGTACTGATATTTTACATGGAAGATAATGATTGTAGTGTCGTTCTACACTATAGATAACGGCTGGACTGTCATTATCGTTCAATAATTACGTACATTATAAAATATACCAAATGCAAAAATAAAATCAACTAAAATATCATTTCATACGATATTCAATAATAATAGTACCAATGTAAATGAGATTTCTATAAATACCTTTCTTTTTTCTTCAAATATAGTAAATATTTCAATACAGATAATATAGATACTAAAATTCTTGTTCAAACGTTCAAAATATTGGAGAAGATAGGAGATGAATATAATGAATAACAAAGATTTTAGGATAGCAACCACAGGAAAAACACGTTTAGCACATGAATTGAGGAATTTAATTGACTTGAAAGGGGTGTTTGGGTATTTTTTATGGTGGAGATATTTGGAATATTTGATAATATTTATTTATTATATTTTGTAATCGAAAGTCATTTGACCCAAACATATTGTTGGATGACCCAAAAATATTGATAGAAACTCTCCCAAGGTACCGAGCATGTCCTAAGTCAAGCTAGAAGAAACTTGAGAAAAATCGATTTCCAATTACTCAAAAATCTGCGGGCTTAATTCGCAGATGGGGACATGTTGTGTGAAATGGTGATGGATTTAGATCATAAACCTCCACCACAAGAAGTAGACAAGAAAATCAGTAAAACCCAAATATCCAACTATGTTTGCTCTTCACAGGAACACAGCAATGACAGTATCTTTATCTAAGCACTGGCACTGTTTCTTTGCTTTTCCATCCAAACTCTCGAATTTCTCTCCCAATTTCAACACTACGTTCTCTTCCATTATCGCTAAGCGCCATTTCAATCTATTTGCTCTATACCCATCTTGTAACTCCCGTAATCCCCGCTATGGAAATAGGATTTGTGGGGTATCCAACGCGAATATCTCTGCGGTGGCCACCAATTTTACTGAAACAGCCACTATTTCGGAGGAAGAAGAAAAATATGGTGAAGCACAGAATGGAAAAATTGTTCTACCCACTAATGAATCGTCTGAGGGACTCCTCAGGATTCGCCACACGGTAATACCAAAGGAGCATCCATTGAGGGCTTGTGTTGTACTGATGCAATTTTTGCTTCAAATTTCATGGGTTTTGTCAATTTTTCTCATTTTCTTTCTTAATCTATATTTATCAATTTTGCTTGAAATTATAGTTATTGCAAACTTAGACTCTGTAGTAATATTAGGCTTCAGAGATTCATACTTGGCTATAATTTGTCCGTAAGTGAATTTGGAGTGGATTGAAAAGGAGTATTTTTCTGTTTGAAGTTTGTAGGTAGATTGTAGAAGCCAACATATTCATTTTTCTGTTCAGTGTGCTCATGTAATGGCCATGGCTGTGCAAAAGCTTTATCCAGATGCAAAAGTGACCATTGGTCCGTGGATTGAGAATGGCTTTTATTATGACTTTGATATGGAGCCTTTGACGGATAAGGACCTTAAGAGAATTAAGAAGGAAATGGTGAGCTTACTCTGTCTTCTTTTGTGCAATTGATAGTCCTTAATTTTCTTGCTTTTTACTAAATCATTGGGGTTATAAATTGGGGAAATATTCATTGGCCTACAGTTTTTGGGTACAGAATTTATTTGTTGAATCATCTGCAGGATCGCATCATTGGTCGAAATTTACCTTTGGTACGAGAAGAAGTTAGCAGAGATGAAGCCCAGAGAAGAATAATGGCTGTTAATGAGCCGTACAAGATGGAGATTTTGGAAAGCATCAAAGAGGATCCTATCACAATCTATCATATAGGTACACACTTGCTATTTCTTTTATAAAAGAAAGTGTGTTTTGTAACTATTGCACCACCAGATTTCGAGCTTATCTTCGTTGCCAACTGTTTCACTATTTGTCAGATACTTATCTAATTGATTTTATAATGTTGGAGTCTAGATATGAAAGAAACTACCATGTGAACCATATGATACCTTGGCTAGTTATATTTTCCAAAACTGGTCGTTTATGTTTTAGTTCATCTGTTCTAAATGGCCAACTTTTCTTCATGATGAGTTGAGTGATTTGGTGGACTATAGATGCCTGCACAAAAGAAGGTAGTGTGTATGAGCACGTGTGCGCTTATGGCTTGTGTGGTTGATGAGGCTATTAAAGAGGTCACAGGCTGTCCAGAAACTTATGGACCCATGTAGATGGAGAATAATATGTGATCTAGAACGTGAATAAGAGTCATTGTTGCTTGTAGGATGAGGAGTTTCAAGTACGTATGATAATCACTGCATAGTAACAAATGGGTCGAAGTAAATTTCAAAAACATGGTTATGGGGTGCAAGCTGGAGTCATCTAGAGGAGGTATATGCTAAAGAAGAAGAAGATATATTTGCATTTCCAAGCTGGAGTTTTCCCTTCGCCTCTTTTCTAACTTGGAAGTGCTTACCCGCCGTATTGGATTAAAGTGAACAACCTTACTGGGGTCAAGTTAATGTAAAATTTTGAGGTTTCTAAGATGATTTTTTTGGGATAAGGATGGATGATATTTTTTGATGTTGGGATTTTGTTAATTTGAAGTTCCCTGCTAGCTGCTTCATTATGTCTAATGACTTCACCAGAAAGAAGTTTCAACAGAAACATTTTGATAGTACCCCTCTTTACTCAGCTTCAATGTTGGCTTCACTGCTGTAAATTATCACTCTAGTTGACTGAAGAAATCAAAAAGGTGTTTAAGAAGGTGATTTACTTGAACTCAAGCAAAAGACAAATTCCAAGGCTAGACAAGAAAATCAGTAAAACCCAAATATCCAACTATGTTTGCTCTTCACAGGAATACAGCAATGGCGGTATCTTTATCTAAGCACTGGCACTGTTTCTTTGCTTTTCCATCCAAACTCTCGAATTTCTCTCCCAATTTCAACACTACGTTTTCTTCCATTATCGCTAAGCGCCATTTCAATCTATTTGCTCTATACCCATCTTGTAACTCCCGTAATCCCCGCTATGGAAATAGGATTTGTGGGGTATCCAACGCGAATATCTCTGCGGTGGCCACCAATTTTACTGAAACAGCCACTATTTCGGAGGAAGAAGAAAAATATGGTGAAGCACAGAATGGAAAAATTGTTCTACCCACTAATGAATCGTCTGAGGGACTCCTCAGGATTCGCCACACGGTAATACCAAAGGAGCATCCATTGAGGGCTTGTGTTGTACTGATGCAATTTTTGCTTCAAATTTCATGGGTTTTGTCAATTTTTCTCATTTTCTTTCTTAATCTATATTTATCAATTTTGCTTGAAATTATAGTTATTGCAAACTTAGACTCTGTAGTAATATTAGGCTTCAGAGATTCATACTTGGCTATAATTTGTCCGTAAGTGAATTTGGAGTGGATTGAAAAGGAGTATTTTTCTGTTTGAAGTTTGTAGGTAGATTGTAGAAGCCAACATATTCATTTTTCTGTTCAGTGTGCTCATGTAATGGCCATGGCTGTGCAAAAGCTTTATCCAGATGCAAAAGTGACCATTGGTCCGTGGATTGAGAATGGCTTTTATTATGACTTTGATATGGAGCCTTTGACGGATAAGGACCTTAAGAGAATTAAGAAGGAAATGGTGAGCTTACTCTGTCTTCTTTTGTGCAATTGATAGTCCTTAATTTTCTTGCTTTTTACTAAATCATTGGGGTTATAAATTGGGGAAATATTCATTGGCCTACAGTTTTTGGGTACAGAATTTATTTGTTGAATCATCTGCAGGATCGCATCATTGGTCGAAATTTACCTTTGGTACGAGAAGAAGTTAGCAGAGATGAAGCCCAGAGAAGAATAATGGCTGTTAATGAGCCGTACAAGATGGAGATTTTGGAAAGCATCAAAGAGGATCCTATCACAATCTATCATATAGGTACACACTTGCTATTTCTTTTATAAAAGAAAGTGTGTTTTGTAACTATTGCACCACCAGATTTCGAGCTTATCTTCGTTGCCAACTGTTTCACTATTTGTCAGATACTTATCTAATTGATTTTATAATGTTGGAGTCTAGATATGAAAGAAACTACCATGTGAACCATATGATACCTTGGCTAGTTATATTTTCCAAAACTGGTCGTTTATGTTTTAGTTCATCTGTTCTAAATGGCCAACTTTTCTTCATGATGAGTTGAGTGATTTGGTGGACTATAGATGCCTGCACAAAAGAAGGTAGTGTGTATGAGCACGTGTGCGCTTATGGCTTGTGTGGTTGATGAGGCTATTAAAGAGGTCACAGGCTGTCCAGAAACTTATGGACCCATGTAGATGGAGAATAATATGTGATCTAGAACGTGAATAAGAGTCATTGTTGCTTGTAGTCATTGTTGCTTGTAGGATGAGGAGTTTCAAGTACGTATGATAATCACTGCATAGTAACAAATGGGTCGAAGTAAATTTCAAAAACATGGTTATGGGGTGCAAGCTGGAGTCATCTAGAGGAGGTATATGCTAAAGAAGAAGAAGATATATTTGCATTTCCAAGCTGGAGTTTTCCCTTCGCCTCTTTTCTAACTTGGAAGTGCTTACCCGCCGTATTGGATTAAAGTGAACAACCTTACTGGGGTCAAGTTAATGTAAAATTTTGAGGTTTCTAAGATGATTTTTTTGGGATAAGGATGGATGATATTTTTTGATGTTGGGATTTTGTTAATTTGAAGTTCCCTGCTAGCTGCTTCATTATGTCTAATGACTTCACCAGAAAGAAGTTTCAACAGAAACATTTTGATAGTACCCCTCTTTACTCAGCTTCAATGTTGGCTTCACTGCTGTAAATTATCACTCTAGTTGACTGAAGAAATCAAAAAGGTGTTTAAGAAGGTGATTTACTTGAACTCAAGCAAAAGACAAATTCCAAGGCTTTTAGCAAGGCCCGGTCTCTCCCCCTTTCCTAACAGAAAATCAGTACTTGAATGAATCCTACATTCCCCTCCCCTTCACATGTATTGGCATTTCCCTACTATAATACTGTTACAATTTTACCCTTCTCCTAACTAAGTAGACACTATGGAATAGTTGATGACTTGGCTGCCCCTATATTGGTTGTATCCTTGCAATCTGACTGAATACCTATCGTTACCTGCTGCCTCATAAGCCACCTTGTCCTCACGGTAGAAGTGTGGTTCAACTTCAAAATTCGAAATTCCATCAACGCCACTGTAAATGTGATTGTATTGTTGCTCGTTGTACATCTCCTTCAGGTATCCCCTTAACAATTTCCTTTTCGCATCCTGCAGCCCTTTATTTTTACGATGATGCTGATAGACCCCCCGTCATCCACATATATTCTAGAAGATCTAAGAAGGTGGAGGGAGCAGATGGGCGGGAACACTAGCAACTGAATTAGTTACACAAACAGAGGTTGTTACCTAGAGGCTTATAAATAAGAGGGTAGGGAGAACTAGTAGGCAGGCAATTAGAAAGTGAGAGAAGGAGTCATTATTGGTTTACAGCCTTCTGTAGGCTTCCTTTTTTTTTAATACGGTTCTGTACTTCAATCTTATTTCAATAAAGAGTTGTTGATTTTGTTCTTCTCAATGGAACCTTAACAGATGCCCAATTGTGTTCTTCTCCCTCCACCGATGGTATAATCATTTCCTTGATTGCAGCAGTTTAGCGTAACTGGGCCTTAAAATTGGAGTAATTAGATTATTTTTAGGACTGCACATAGTTTTTGGGCCATTTATCTTTATTTTATTTAAGTCCACTCCAACTTCAGCTGGTTTGATTGAAATTATGCAGGCCTTCTCTTGTTGGGCTATCTCTATATCTTAGCTTAAACCCTTAAGGCTTTGCATCATGACTTCAGCCCTAATGACTGGTTTCAGCCCACTAATAACTCTGCCTTCTATCATTGCTTCAGAACTTGCCGGCAATGGAGCTGCAAGTACCTCAAATTGCCTCATGTACTCCCTGACTATCTCCTTTCGATTCAACGCTGAAAACTTACCCAGAATTGTCCCTTCTTGTGATGGCTGAGAGGAGCAAAAATTTTTTTTGAACTTTCTCGCTGCTGGATCTCTCTAAAAATCCTGCCAGCGAGCTTATCTACAACTAACACTGGAATTTCCTATTNATAAACCATGTTTAGAAATCCATAGTAAAACAAATTAACAGAATTAGAAGTTTAACTTGCTAACAACCATAAAGTAGATGAGCAACCTATGTTTTAATCTACTACAAGTATGAACGACCACGAGTCTCCTAAATCATCATCTAAGAAGCATGGATTCGGATACATAATTCGAATATGATATAATACGGGTATTTAGATATAGCCTTGTTTAGAAAAAATTAGACTACATGGATACTTTTATTAGAAGTTTTAATACCATTATCTATTTTCAGTAATAAAGTTATAGTTGTTGATTACTAACAAAATTTTGCATGTATTAAAAGTCCTATTATGATTATTATCTATTTTCAATTATAAAACTATAGTTGTCAACTATTAAAATGGTTTTATATGTATTAAAAGATTTAATGCTATTTGTTAAATTTTTGATAATAAAATTCTAGTTATCAATTAATTTAAAATTATGATTGCCAACTATTTAGTACTGTATATATTTCTAATATGAAGCCTTTGTTTGACAACCATTATTTGTGGAGAATAGAGTTTTAAATAGTGATTTTAAGGAGAATGTGTGGTTAAGAAAGTAGAGAAAAATTTTGGGTTTATGTGCAAAATATTGTATTGCGTGAATGTGTAGTTGAAAATGAGTATGTAGAAAAAGAGTTTCAAAATTATGTTTGTCAAACAGATTCTTAGTATAAACCATGTAGTTATTAATTATTTTAAAAAATGTTTACTTTCTTTGAAATTATTAATTAATAAATATTATATATTTTCAATAATTTATTGATAATAACATTAGTTATCTACTAAATAAAAGCATGTGTCATAACGTGTCCAATACGTAAAGAAAAATTAGAACCAAAAAAAAATAAAAAATCTACATGTATTTGGTACGAATTAGAGAGTATCAAAGCGTATCCAAGCTTGAATATGTATCCAACAGGGTACTCTTAAATTTAAAAGTATCTATGCTTCTTAGAATATCACTACTAACAGGTTCTTTTAAAAAAACATTAAAATAATTTGATTATGTAATCATCCTCTTCACAACTATCTTTTCTTCTCTTGTTTTGCTATCATCCTCCACTAGCTATGGTGTCTAATTAGTTAGAAAAAAGTAAATAAAACATTAGTAAATCATTCTAGATTTTAAAAAATGGCCTAAAAAGTTGATGCTTGTAATAAAATGTCCAGAAAAGAAAGTACGATGGCATGACCACATTTGTTGTCATGAGACAGCCTTGAGGCATAAGCCTCACAAATGTCACTTAAGGAGTAAGGTTTGAGACGTTAACTGGAAGACTTATGTGAGGTTGGACTCAAGACGTAAGCCTCAAAATGTACAATGCAACAGTACAACGCAGTGTTTTGTACCCCATGAAATGCCTTCCCATTTCTTTAAGTCCACGGAATCTAATGACATTTAGAGGAACAGATTCAGAGGTCAGCATTATGTCTTTGATTATTACAATTTTGGGCTAATCATAAAATCGTTCAGCATGTTCTGCATCACTCTCGACTACCAAAGTGGTGAAGATCAGTGACAATAATTCACTTGCAACAATACAATGCGGCGATTCATGATAATTTGTGATGTAGAAATTCAGGCCTGTTTAAGACTATTAATCTGTTGATTCATGCCTATTAACAATTTAGATATTGGAAATTCAGAGACTTATGGGTGTCGGACACGTACGTATCTGAAATAAAGCTGTAGAAAACATATTTAAGTATGTCCAATTGCTTCGTTGAAACAGAAATAGCTTCTGGCTGCAGAGAGAAGAGGATTCCTGCTTGATTCACTCTACAAAATTTCTAAATAAAACTAGAAGCTGGAGCTTGAAGCAAACCACGTACTGTTCATAAAAGAAGAAGCTTTTCTAGCTTCTGGTTTTTCCATACATATTGCACATATTGACTGAATTTTGTTGATAACCCCAAATTATCTCATAACGAATAAACCAATCCGGCCTATCTAGTCCCTTCTGCTGATGGCAAATCTGCCAATAAGATGCAGCAATGGAGTTGTGAGTATAGCAGTGATGTTTACCAGGACATATTAATAGTCAGAACTTTAGTGTGAGTGAAGTAGCGGTGACACCATAGATGTGGTGTAGGTAGGCAGAGGAAGAAGAGAAGTACAGAATTGAAGAAGCCTATAACAGAAGCTAGTTCTTTTGCAAAGCAGGAAGCAGACACGCTAGGGAAATGTCAATTTACATTCTTTAGAATTATTGCATTTATATATTACTTTTCATTTTTATACTTTTTTATTTTTCAATAAAATCAAACTCTGTCTATGTTTGAGTTTTGGAGGTGAAATCTTTTAAGTAATACAAATGAGTGCTTATAATATTTTAATAATTTTGGGTTAATTATATTTGTTTTAGTCAACCCGCTCCCTCTTCTAATTTGTCATGCATTTCATTGCATTGCTTTTGTTAATGAGAGCCTCTTTAGATCTGGTCAAGTATTTTTTTGGACTTCATTATGAATGGTTGTCATAAGGGACATTAAGCCTATGTTTGACTCATGTTCATAAACTGTTTTTAAACACTCAAACCAATTTTTATTCACACATTTTGAGGAACCCACAAGTAGTATCCACTTATCCACCACTTATTTCTATCAATTTATAATTAAAACCGTTTGTAGAACACTTCCTAAGCATGATTTTAAATAAATAAACAAAATTGTACCATAACTTAGAAACAATGAACACTCAATTTTGGTATATCGATAGAAGGGTAGGTCAACAGATATTGAGAAGGGGTGAATACTAGCTTTTTCAAGTTGTAGAGTAGTGATAAGTTTGCATTGCTATCATTCATCTGAGCTTCCCTGTTTCTTTAACAGTTTCTGAGATATTTGAAAAATAACATTCTGAGTCCTGCAGGATGAAGCTGGTGGAGGGTTAGTGTTCTGGCATCCCAAGGGTGCTATTATGAGGCATATAATTGAAGATGCCTGGAAAAAGATGCACATACAACATGGTTATGATCTGCTGTATACTCCACATGTGGCTAAAGCAGATCTTTGGAAGATTAGTGGTCATCTGGACTTCTACAAAGAGAACATGTTTGACCAAATGGAGATTGAGGAAGAACTTTATCAGCTTCGACCAATGAATTGCCCTTATCATATATTGGTTTACAAAAGGAAGCTACATTCTTATAGAGATTTCCCAATCCGGGTTGCAGAGCTTGGAACGGTATATAGATACGAATTGTCTGGAAGTTTACATGGCCTTTTCCGAGTGAGAGGATTTACCCAGGTGATTTTCATTTGCTCATGTTGACATTATTAATTATTATGTTTATCCTTTTGATGCTCTTTCCGACCAGCAATTCAGTAATGACATTAAACCCTTTCATGCACAAGGATAGGTTTGTGGTCATATTTTACTTTCTCAATGCATTGCAGATTCAAGCTTTTTTCTGTTAGCATAAAAGAACACGTGTGCAAAGGATAAAAAGGACAGGAATGCTTGTTTTGCAGAACATGATGCGATTTTTGTATCAACTATCGCAGACTATAAATTGAGCTACTCAAGGAGAAGTCCATGCCGATGGTTAAGGGAGATGGATTAGCCAGTTGGGTTGGATTTGGGTAGGTAGAAATTGGATTGATAAAACTGAATTGGGAATGTGAATCCAAGTGACCTTTCTCCTTGTCAACCCAAGTCATATGAAACCCATTGCTTTCACATTCCCACCTAACATGTTTCACTAATATTCTTATGCTAGAACTCCACTCTGTGGTGTATGAGTTCTCAAATTTGGCATTAACCGATTGGCTAATTTGAAGTGCCACCATTTTGGAAAAAAACTAGTGGTACCCCTTTTACTCTTGCATAATGTTCAATCACACAGGATGTCTCGAAAACAAGGTTTTAGTTGTTTGCAATCCATCGCAAATATTGCAACAGCCAATGTTCACCTTTTCCATAGTTAATAATTGTGGTGGCAAAGTATGACATCTTTGCTGGGGAACCCACTTGCCACTGCACTCAACCTGTACTAAAACCCCCATTTCCAACAGGCATTTGGCTCATGAAACCAATGATGAACATTTTATTAAGGACTTAACAAAATTATGCACTTATTTTGGAGAAAATTATCGCGATTTTTTCCAAATTATTAAGTCAAGATAATTTCTAGTGTTTCCGGTATCCATCCAATTTTTATATGGACCAAGTATAATGAGGAGTAGGAATTTTCAATATCTAGATTATTGATTTGAATTTAAGTGATATTGAAATTATCCTCTCTACATTTCCTCCATCCATCTCTGATTTTTAATGACCCAACTTTCTCATTTGATGGTGTAATCAGGCAGGCTGATTGTTTAGGTTGATTTTGCCACCTCTGTCCTGCATATTACTTAAGAAGTCAACTAGATCCTTCATAAAGTGACTATAATACCTACAAGACCATTCGTCCTTGACAAGGATCAAGTTTTGACCAAGGACAGCTTTCTTGCTGGTGAATTTGATTTGCATTGAGGAGGATGATTCCGCGTGTTTCAGTCTTTTTTTCCTTAGTTTTCATCAAGAACTGGACAAACCTAGATGCATTTTATATTTGTTGAACCTTGACAATAATTTTACAGGATGATGCCCATATATTCTGTTTAGATGATCAAATCAAAGATGAAATCAGGGGGGTCCTGGATCTCACGGAGGAAATGCTGCTAAAATTTGGGTTTGACAAATATGAAGTTAACCTCTCGACTAGGCCAGAGAAAGCTGTAGGAGGTGATGACATATGGGAGAAAGCAACATCTGCTCTCAAGGATGCTTTAAATGACAAAGGGTGGAGTTATCAGATTGACAAAGGTGGCGGTGCATTCTATGGACCCAAAATTGATCTCAAAATAGAGGATGCTCTTGGAAGAAAGTGGCAATGCTCAACCATACAGGTATTTCTGAGTATCCTGTTGTGTTCACAAGGACCTTGATTGGAAGTAAAGCCGTCTTCCCCACCTTTTCTGTGGTCTTCCTCCGTCATTTGTTGTTCCTGGTCCATGCTACTAGAGTTAAAATTAATATAAGATGTCAAAATCCAACAATTTTGTCTCTGATGAACAAACTGTAAGCTGTATATAATTTTTGATGAGAATTGCATCATTGGTCCTCATCCTATTACTCGAGTAGCAAGTTAGCAACTTGATCCTTAACTTTTCATTATAGTCAAGCAATTATTCCTTACTGATGGAAACCATCCAAATTTCTATAAACTCGTCACGTGACTTTCATGGCTATGGCTTTTTTAATTGGGACTTAACTTATATTTGGCTCATGTTTATAAGTTGTTTAGGGATCCACAAGTACTACCCACTTATCCAATATTCATTTCTTATTTATTAGTAGTTTAAACCATTTATAAACACTTCTTAGACATGCTTTAATATAATCGAAGGTTGAAGACCAACTTGCTCTTACTGTGGGGTCTAGTATAATGAAAGGTTCAGAACCACCTTGATCTACTTTTAAGCTTGGCGACCAAATTGATCTATTTTTAATGTTGGCAACCAACTTGCTACTTGAACAGTAGGTTGGGACCATGGTGAAATATTTCATAATTTGTACGACAATACGACAAATTAATTTTTTTCCAATCCTTTAATTGTTACATGATATATTGTACAGGTTGATTTTAACTTGCCTCAGCGCTTTGACATTACTTATGTTGACTCAAATCAAGAAAAGAAGCGACCAATCATGATTCACAGAGCCATTCTTGGATCCTTGGAGCGATTCTTTGGAGTTCTGATAGAGCATTACACTGGAGATTTCCCGTTATGGCTTTCTCCAATTCAAGCTCGAATTTTACCTGTCACCGACACACAGGTAACAAAATAGCTTTTATTTTCTCTCACAAGTTTTGATTCTAATGTCATAAAACTAGAAAATTACCAGGTCGACATTACTGTGTTTCACCATCATATGGATTTGCAAAGCCTTTGAAAAATGCGAGTAGTTGTATAATTTTACCCTAAAATATAGTAGTTATCAACAAAAGTTTGTCCGATTCTTGGGATATTGCATGCTGATTTGTCACTGCGTATGATTTACAGCTTGAGTTCTGCAATGAGGTGAACAGGAGACTGAAAGGCCACGGTATTCGCAGTGAAGTATGCAGTGGTGAGCGCCTACCGAAGCTTATAAGAACCTCGGAAAAGCTAAAGATCCCATTGATGGCAGTGGTGGGGCCAAAAGAGGTTGAAACACAGACCGTAACAGTAAGATCCAGGTTTGGTGGAGAATTGGGTTGCATGGACATTGATGATTTTATCAGCAAAATGAAGCATGCAATTGAAAACGGAACATTCTTCTGAAAATGAACATCCAAAATCAAGAAATAAACAGGTATGGTATTCCACTCTCTCTGCATGAGCTCACACACATATTAAGCTAATTAGATTAGGTCTTAAAAGAATATTCTAAATGATTATTTTACACACATATTCTTATTCATTTGTTATGATTTTCAACACTCTCCATCAACTCTAAATCCTTTTATGAGCAAATTTCGCAACTTAGTTGTCCATCTTGTCACTTTGTTCTGAGCAATTGACTGATTATCACAATAAAGTAGCAGCTAGCTCATGTAAATTGATTATTCACCAACATATATATTTCATTTAGCTGATATAGCCATTCTCCGATAGTTGAGAGTGATGCTTTGGACACCAAGATAAGCCACTCCTAAACATACTGTGAGAGTTTTAGTAATCCAATCGACACTAAAAATAGTAGAAAATGTTATTTTGGGACTATGATCGACTTGGGAAACACCAAAGATAGATTTACAAACAAAAGTTTTAAGGTGTCTTGGTAATGCCTTAGAAAAGGATGGATACCTTTTGAAAATTCAAACTTCTCGAGTTTTTAGAAAACGATGGATACTTTGAAACATGCTCTAGTTAAACAAGTTTTTTCCCCCTGCGTGACATATTTATAATTTATTATCATGTAAGAGAATCATTTTTGAACAATTTTATTCGAGTTATATTTGAAAATATTTCAGTAATACTTTCCGTTTTAACGACCATTCGCACATATTAATTGTAATAATTTGTTTCAACTCAGTGTCAAAAATAAATAAATAAATAAATAAAATCACATGGTCTAAATTCACATATTTACTGATTTCATATTTACTTTTAATCTTTTTTTATTCTCAAAATATATTTGTAATTTTTAGTTTTCACTATAAATTTAATGATAGATTACCCGCCGCAAACAACCAATCTCACAAAACAAAACAAAAAAACTCAGATCCATTTGCAAATGGGGGATGGACATTTACTGGGGTGATAGGAAGAATTGAAATTTCAAAAGGTGGTGAGT